TGTAAAATGTCGATGATAGAAATCGATACATTGTTAAACTTAATCGATTTTTATGCATTCATTTTGATACTGACTCTGTGTCAACTATAAACAAAAGGTGTGCCAATGGTCTCAAAATCGAGGTCGGGTTTCTTTGTGCCGAGTTTTCGAAGTGCTATTAATACCACCTCGTAGATTGAATGATATTCGTTAAATCATTTAAGGTTCAAAGTCATCATGTTGGTTTGATGTGGAAATTTGGAGAATGTAATGAGTTGAATGGGTATCAGCTCAGGTGTTCACCTCGTCCCTTGTCTTGGTTTAAAGGTACGCGGTTTGTTTCTAATAACCCTGGTGCTGCTTTAGATTGTGCGGTTATACAAAATATTAGTAAGTCCGATGGATACAGACTTTATCAATTATTCTTCCCGTTCAGTTTCAAATATATTATTGTAGCCAAAAAATCATAGTGGTCAAGGTCACAAGATCGTTGGCCGGCGTGTCATGGGATCGAACCCTAATGCTAACGAAAATCACTCTTGTTAAGGAGAATGGGTGCTGCTTCAAGGTAAATTTTCCGTGGCTTAAGAACCTCCTGTTGGCGCAGTGTGTGAGAGAAGCTTGCTGACTAAGGTGCCTTCGAAGTCACTTGATTGTTGTTTGAGATTGCTAGGCCATCCGTCGCCAGTAGCCCTTGCGCCACTGAGTGAGTGAGTGAGAGATTAACGTCGCATTCTTCAGTTACTTGAGGACTTTTAGCGACGGACTTCGTAATTTTGAACCATGGTGAAATGACGAGGATGACACCTGAGCTGGCACGCCTTCTCCTAAATCATCTTTGAACTAAACCCAAATTTAGTTGCAAAAGAATTGTAGTACTTTAGTGGGGGGTGAGTGAGTGAGGGAATATTAACGTCGTACTGTTGAGCTACACGAGTGGCCGCGGTAGCCGAGTGGTATAGTTATCGGACCGTGGCTTGCCTTGTCAAGAGTTCGAGCCCAATACCACTAAAGACCCACCGTGTAGGGCAGTGATGCATGTTAAATCTGTCGATAGCTGAAACGTCCTCCCGTTGGTGTGGTGTGGTAGTTAGGAGAGGAGGTGCCAGCTCAGGTGTCGTCCACGTCACTTGACCATGGTTCAAAATTACGTGGTCAGTCGCCAAAAGCCCTCGTGTAGAGCTAAAACAGTGCGACGTTAATAATCAATCAATCAATCAATTCAGCTACACGAGGGCCTTTGGTAACGGTCCATGTAATTTTGAACCATGGTCAAGTGACGTGGGCGCCACCTGAGCTGGTCCCCTCCTCTCCTAACTACCATACCACACCACTGGGTGGACGTTTGAGCTCTCGACAGATTCATCATGCATCGCTCCCGTGCACGGTGGACCTTCAGTGGTACTGGGCTCGAACTCATGACACGCCAGCCATGATCCGATGATTGGCCACTTCGCTACCACGGCCACACCCTTGCGCGACGTATGTGTTCCACTTTAATAAAAAAATAAAAAATAAAAAAAAGTGTTATTAAAAATAGCCCATCTATTTCTCTTTTTGAATAACATTAGGTTATATATGTACTATAAACGTTGAACAAAAAGCAGATTCGAGTAAAAGTGAATGATTTAAAGTTATAACTTCAACTTCTCACTATCATACAAAAAAAATATCAGTTCCGAGTATATGTGAGGTAAGGAAATCTCAATTTTAGGTGGTAAATGCTTTGGTTTTTCGTAGGTATTCTTCTGAACAACTGAACAAGCTAACTAAAAAAATAATTTACACATGCATTATATATATATATGGTTATTCATCCACTAGATAAATATAAATCACATGTTCATGTGATTTTTAGTCAATATTTTAAAAAACTATAGTTATCCATGTTTATGTTGCTTGTACTGAATACATTTGAATCTAATCATGTGGGGTGCAAGAAAATAATGTCTTAATATATGATACTGAAAATGTGAATACAGAAGGAAATATTTTTACAGTATATTTTCTTGCTTTAGATAACTGTTAAAGCCAAAGATTTTCACTTGTGGGCAAACTCCTGTAATTTAACTTGCTTTCTAGTTTCCGAGACCTAGTTTCTTGACCCAGAAAACAATTCAGCATTGGGGCGAAATGTTTATGATTATTACCCAAATATATATATATATAAATAACATATGGTATAAATTCTTATGATTTTACGTCGTTTAAAATCTATGCTTTCTGACTGAGATGTTTTACATAGAGAATACTGCATTCTTATGTGTGCTGCACTCATATAAACATTGAAATTAATCTAAGTTAAAATATCAGGCCCCTTAAAACTTTTGAAATTAAACGAGGCATGACAATAATTTAAAATTAAAATGTAAGAATTAATGTACAGTAGAACAGAGAATTAATGTACAGAGAATTAATGTGCGGTTCTTTTTTATGCGATTTTATTTTTTTGCGACCTTTTTTTATGCAGTGTTAATTTTAACGGCTTTGGTGCCACTGTAATATGTTCTATCTATGTACATACATACACTTCAAGCTTAAAGTCTATATTGTGAATCAAAGTGAGCGAGTGGGAGGAGTTATTACACACAAGGAGTTATTTGAGATGTCCATAAAGCAACATCTCAAATAACTCCTTGTGTGTTGTATTATATTTAAAA